GACCACTAGATAAGGTACGAATTTCAGCATTCTGATACATGTTTCTTAACCAAAATTTTACGTAAAACACGATGCACACAACGAAAATTACCGAAATTAACTCCTTACGAAGATATTTAATGATTCTTAATGCGTGAATTCAGACCACCCGCTCATGAAAACTCAATGCTCTACGTGATTCACATCGCGCGCTAAACGTTATCATGACAGTCTCAGCGATATAAAAATCTGGCAACCTCAATCTTGACGCTTTGGCTCAGTTGTAGCAAATTTCTAATAGTTTGAACAACACATGATGGGAAATGAACATTGCTCGATTGAGAAGCTTGCTGAAACCGTTGTAGTGGATGATTTGACTCACGTAGAGTTTTGAGTTTCTTGTGACCGGGCAGTTCAAATTCCTCGTAACCAATGTGAAATAAAAACTTTAATATCTTCGTTAGGAATTGGTTTCCGTAATTTTCGTTGTGTGAATCGTTTTCTACGTGAAATTCTGGTTAAGAAACATGTATCAGATCGCTTAAATTCGTAACTTGTCTAGTGGTCCATTGCTAACTTGAAAATGCGTTTGTTGTGTGTCCAAAACACAACCATGAAAGCATGCAGAAGATAGCACTTACAGCCGTCTTGCCTCACAATAACCTAGCATGAAAATGAAAAATAGCCTTTTTATGTAATTGAAATAAAATCAGTCGATTTGTAATCATCCAAACCGATTTCTTGGAGTCTTTCGGACATTTAGTGGCAATTTGACAAAGAACGGAGGCTTCCTTCAGTAAAATTTTCCGGTCAGAAGCTTCTGAGCCTGTTTTCTCAAAACTTCATTTTTGCCTTTACTGCTCTCTTCGCTATCACGGCAGTACTATAATATGTTTGAATGAGAGAAAGCGCTCAGCTGTTTTTTGTGTAGGCGCGTTTTTAAGTTCCCGAAGAAGAGTTGGAAGAAGATGAGCACCGTTGAGATGATGGAACTTGCTCACTAAAATTTCAACCATCAGTTTTTAAGAAGACTACATTACCGCTAAAAGAGTACACAAATAAATGGACGGCGTTAGTCCGCAATCACATATCTCGTTTGCGGTGTCTGAAAATCTCCGCCTCCAGGGCCGGATCTATCTACTTGCCGCTCATGGGCCGCCTGTATTTTGCCGCCCCTTTCTCATTCGTTTTGAAACATCAATAAAAACCATCAAATGAACGTGCCAGCGCAGCGGAGGAGGGGTGCATAAGACGCGTTTACTCGTGTTGAACAAATCTTTCGGGAAAGCCCTGTCAACAATACTAGCAAAAGTTCACGGAACTTTGCGCGAAAGTTAAGTTTTGTAAACCTATCTCTGTGTGGACAAGGTCTTGCTTTCATAAGAAATGAACGAAAAAATTATGAATGAACAAACATAAATGTGGATTAATGATTTTAACTTCCGCCGCCGCGCCACGTAGACCGCACCGAGTTGGGCGCAATGTGTGAAGTATTCAGACAGTCTTGTAGGCGCTATGAGTTTCACGCCGTCCGCTGCTGAACGCACTGTGTTTGACGCAATGCGTGAAGTATTCACACAGTCTTGTGGGCGATATGCGTTTCACGCTGACCGCAATGACCGCTCTATGTTTGATGAAACGCGTGAAGTATTTATGCAGTCTTGTAGGCGCTAATATGTGTTGCATGCCGATCGCCGCGCCGAGGGCTTCTCCTTTTCATCTCAAGTCTTCGTCATCAGTTCTCTCTAAATTGCGCCGTTCCAGGCCAAATTGCGTGTTTGGTTTCTCTCTTAACTCGATTAATTAAAGGTGCTTTCTCTTGTATCACTGAAAGACGACAGAATTAGAAATTACCATACTCTCAGGAAATGAGAGAAAATTTGCCGCCCCCTATAGATTTGCCGCCATGGGCCGTGGCCCATGTGGCCACCTCCTTAATCCGGCCCTGTCCGCCTCTATGTTATTTTTTTAAAGGAGAATAAATTGACATTATTCCTTGAAGTTTTTGCAGAATTTTCTTCGCAAAGAGAAGAAAAATCACGGCAGTTTAAAGAATCGTTGAGAAGTTTTCCGTTTAAAAAATAAAGTATGACAGGAAGTCTTTGTCGTCGCAAACCGAGTTATGTGATTGCCGACTTAGACCGTCGAAATATAATGAGCAACACTATCACCAAAGCTTATAAAAGTAGCTTTGAAAAATTGAGAATAAATACCCAGTTTTGGTGGCTCATCACTCAGCTCTCAGCTTTTCAAAGTATGTATAGCTCTGTTTTCACGATCAAAATGGTGGTTCAAAAGAAAGCGATTTATCAGAATTCTAGCGACGAGATTAGCCAGATTTCGATAGATCGCTCCGTTTTGAGCCTCTGTCTCGATCGTGAGGACAGGATTTTTTCATTTTCGATTGTGGAAATTCCCGTAATTACATGCGTGCAATGGAAGAATTCGCCCAATGTAATAAGGCAAACAAACCGGAAACTGTCGGAGGTTAGACGAGAGACTGGCAACGCACGGTGCAGAGCGTCGAGAATTGAAATTCGCCTAGCATCGGAAAGTCGTCATTTGTCGAAACGCTGTGTCTTACTTCATCCCATTAGTTAGTTCGTAAGCTCCGACTAATACCAATGAGCCAGCAAGAATACACCCCTGCGCTACACTACGACCATGCCAAGGAAAGAATCTTTGTCAATTGCCAAATTTTCCTTGATTAAATACGATTTTTTAGGCAAACTCGTGAATATTTTCCGCATGGTCAAGAATGCGAACATGTGCGAGGGATTTGTGATTTGACCATTGTTTCTTATGTAAAAGTTTGCGAGAAACACGATGGTGCCACTGGTTTTCTCTGAAATCAACTCCCAAGCTCAAAAAAAGCTCTCAAGTTGAGGCCAAAATGGAGGGGATATCCCACGCTATCCTGAGAGTCCACCGCTACATCAAAACAAACTCTCCATGCAAAGATAGGGAGCAAATACATTAGCAGTGATGCCGTGTTTTCAGTTTTGGACTCCCCAAATAAAGGGGCAGCCCTGTCAATGTATTTGCTCCCTATCTTTGCATGGAGAGTTTATTTTGATGTAGAGGTGGACTCTCAGGGTAGGGTGGGATATCCCCTCCATTTAGCCTCACTTTGAGAGTTTTTTTTGAGCTTGGGAGATTATTTCAGAGAAAACCAGTGGCATCATCGTGTTTCCCGTGAACTTTTACATAACAATCAATGGTCAAATCGCAAATCCCTCGCAAATGCAACATCTCCATTCTATGGCTAGACAGAAACAGAGAAACACTATGCTGCCGTGCTAAGGAAAAACGCCGTATGAACCTTCAGGCGTTGCCAAATTTCCTTTGATAAAACTCGAATTTCCTGGTTAACTTCTGAAGATTTTCCTTTCAGTTTTTCAGCTGATTTTTTTCGCAATTTCACCTAAAGTTCCTGAAAATTTCAGGGAAAACTATACATATCTTCACTCAAAAATGAACGTTTTATCGAAGGAAATTTGG